TGACCCCCCCCTCCCTCCTTTTTCTTTTTCTTTTTCCAAATCCAGGGAAACCCGCGGCATAGGGCCCCCCCCCCCTTTCCGTCCTTCAGGGGGATCCTGGGCCCCCCCATTGCCGCCCTCCCCCGTTTTTTTTTGCAGGAACCCTGCCCCCCCTTTCCCCCGGGGAAGTTGGTTCCTGCCCCCCCCCCCCCCCATGCCCCCCTCGACGAGGCCCAGAACAGAACACAGCAGCAGGCAGTCAGGAAAGAGAGAGGCCGAGAGAAAGAAAGAGAAAGTAAAGTAGACAGGTACCAATGAGGGGAGTTCAGCGCCTTGTGTAAGGTACCTCTTCTTCGGCCCCTCCAGAAGACGACAGTTCGTTTACTTCACACCAGCTCAAACCCAGCGCTGGGTTCGTGGGGAGGAGCCCCTCGCCTGCCCTGGCCTGATACATGGTATTCCTTCTACAGAACAGTACAGTTTTGGCCCACGACCACCCTCGTCTGAATGAACAGGGCCAGGCCCCTTCCATTGTCTGAAGCAACCCCAAGCATTGCCAGCCCGGGGCAGCCAGCATCTGAGCTCTGTCTGTTTCTCTCTTTCTCTCTCTCCCTCTCTCTGCTCGTTTCCGGACTCATCTGGATGCTCTTGGGCAAATGTCCGGTACATGCAGTTACAATCTTTGTCTCTGACGCTGACGGACGACGAGGCATTGCATCATAGGCCCCCTTTCGGCAGGCGTCGCAATTACTCGCGCTTTTTATCTGCACGAGGTCTCGAGTCAGACGTCTTCGGCTCTGTCGTGGGGACCGACCCAGAGATCTCCATCCGGACGCGTGAGATACCGAAATCCTCGCCGCTCAGCACCTGTACCACAGGTGAGAATTACCCACTCACACCCCTAGCCTCCAGCTCGCCAGGCACCCCCCTCCTCCCTCCTACATGCTTGCATGGTACTCACGCATACGAGCCGACCACCTCTCGTCTGTCGCCTGTCCCAGTCTCCCAATCCCAGTCCCGTCCGCAACCAAGTCACTTTCTTGACGAGCGAACAGTAGACCTCGTCGCCAGATCGAACTCTCCGATTTGCAGTACATGCATACAAGCACAGTACCTAGAACTGGGACCACTTGCGGCCACAGAACGACCAGAGCACACCGTGCCGTGCCTGGCGCAAACAGGCCACGACGGAAACAGAAAACAGAATTGCGCACCCCACGAGTCGAGGCGTGAAAGGTCTATACTGGTGCCTTTCTTCTTCTTCTATCCCTCTCTCTACCTCTATTCCACTGCTTCTGGCGCTCTTTGCTGCTCTTCACTCTGTTTGTTTGTCGTGACGCGTGCTCTGGGACCTGGGCTAACACACGGCAAGTCCGTCCGCTTCGTCAGGTGGACCATCAACGACGTTCCTGGTGAGGTGAAGTGAGGTGACGAGAGGTACCTTTCCGGGCAAGCTACGATTGCGGAGTGACCAGACGAAGAGCGCGCTGCTCTTTTCGCAAGCTTCGGCATTTGTGCAGTCCAGCACACCCACTACACATCGACAATCCACTCGTCCATCCTTTATCCACCGGGGGTGCCTCGCCTCATCCCTGGCTACATCGACACCCCATTCC